TTAATAATTGGATTATGTGTGATTAAAGTATCTGGAACTTAAATTCAAATTATTGAAGCAGCAGTTAAGGTTTGTGCTGCTTTCACCATGATACAATTACTTGGCTTTTTCATTACAAATATGTGTTAAAGGCATGTCTGGGAACTTGGGCAATGTTCATTACAAACCTTACCATGAGCAAATAGGCTTGTTTATAATTCTACAATGGGAGATTAAAGCATTCTTGTGGAACATTATGATAAATTGAATTTACTTCACAGTTGAGATGCATAGCACAGGGAAAGCCTGCATTTGTAAGACTCACTTTTTTATAGTAATATATATATTTTGGTCAGACTATCTGTCTAATCTGTGCGTTTGTAAAACACCCATCACTATAGTATCTGGATGCCAAAGGATTATGGTGGTAATCAAACAAAAGAGTTTTTTCAGTATAAAATTAATACCTTTAGACCTGGAGGCTAATATGTAACTTTTAAGATTCTCTCCATTCTGGAGATCTAGTGGCTTGATCCTGCAAAACCTTCCTCAGTTTAATAGTCCTGTTGAAAATCTATACATGTGAGTACAGAGTTTGCAGGGTAGCGCTCTGGTTAGGTCATTGCTGGGCAGGTTAATTTACTGGTGTGTTTATATGTATGTAGGTACTGGTGGGGCATGACAATTTACCTGACACCTCCTAGCCTAAGGACTACATTTTATTATCCAGGGCAAATATCTGTCCTTTTTCAGAAGACTGGAAGAGTTGTGTGCTGTTTACTTTGTACTTACTTAACATATCACTCAACATTTCTATTTAAAATTTTTTTTAACTTATTAGGTCTCTCTTGCTTTTGCTATACCTACTCTTCCTTCCTGGCTTCACTCTATATTTTCTTTTATTTCTATCCTATTGTAGATGATGATATCATGTTTTCTTACACTATTTTGAGTGAGTTACCGTTGTCAGTCTGTCTTTCTCTTCCTCTCCATTCCCTATTTATCCCTTTCCTTTTCATACATTGTATTCTCCACCTCCTCCTCCTGTCTGTTTTCTCTGACCCACATCTTCTTCCAAAATCTCTCTCCCTCTCAACAACTAACTTATTTCATTCATATGTCCTCTTTCATATATCTCATCTGCTCACCCACTCAGGCCCCTTTACATAAGGGATGAAAATTTTACCAGCTAAAGTAAGATGAGAAGTCCAACTGTCCAAGAGCAACACCCTGGTGAGATACCAAGACCCACCCTTCTGTGCTGCTAATAAAGAGGGCAGCGCTTGGGTTCATATTGGAGAATTGGCCCTGGATATTTCTAAAAGACTCCATCTTTTGTAGCCTCTGGCTGCTGGAAGGCGCTAGGAGCAGTCTCTCTATATCAGGGGTGGCCAACCTGAGCTTGAGAAGGAACCAGAATTTACCAATGTACATTGCCAAAGAGCCACAGTAATACGTCAGCAACCCCCATCTGTGAGAGGCATCTTTTATTATCCTAAGCCTAAACCAGCTTCTTTTTTTGTGTGTCCTCATCACCAGTAAATAGGTTCAGGTTTTGGTACAGTTTCTGTAACTTTGTTTTGCCCATTTTTATACCTTTGAAATTTTGTGCTTTAGCCAAATTTCATGAAAACAGCAATTCTACTGTGAAACTGCAAGATTTTGCCTGTTTTCACAGTGAAACCAATTTGGCTTTAGAACAGTCCTGTTTAAGAGCTAAAAACCCATTTTTTGGAAATCCGTTTCAAATTTACAACCAAATGCAAACATGCCCCGTTCCCCAGCATTTTGAATTTCACAGTGACTATTTCACACATCACTATGACTGTTAAGTGAATTTTACTTCACCTAAGTCCTTGAGAGGTTTCAAGATCTGCACTTTACCCTTTAAGAAATGTATTATTTTTCTCATGTTTTGGGAAAGTCAAAATACTTTAATTTTCTCTTTTTAAAAAAAGAGTGTATAAAAATCCTGACTGATTGCATTGATTGCTACTGTTACTGGCAAATGTGATCAGGACAAGGTCTTGGAAAATCACTCAAGAAGCTGCTTACTGCACTTACTTCTTTAGAATCATACTATCAATTATTTTTCCTTTACTACTCTGGGGAAAAAATCATAACCCAAACCCTGAGCCGCAAAGGATTTACCAAGAGGCCCAGGAGTAAACTGTAAACTAGGATCTTCACATATCAAAATAAATACGTACGAGCCCAGAACACTTTGTTTTAAGATCACATTTGTTTTCCAGCACAGTCTTTCTGTAGTCTTGGATGACTCATTAAAGAGAGATCGATTCCATTACCATTTTGCTAAGAGATTCCCACTGTTTTGCACAGTGCTAGTAGTTAGCTGTCAGACAGTAAATGCTGACTTCCTGGGTTGAAAGGCAAAAACAATGAGCTTGTCAAGAGAGCATATACATTAGACAGTCTGACTTGCCTATTTCACCTTCTCCAGTTGGCCACTGTTGCTAAAGTTGATCTCATTTGATAAGTGTTCAGTTTTTCATGCATTAAAAGTAAGAATTGCTTATGGCTGAAATTTTCAAAAATACATAGTGCTCTTACATAGTGCTTTTCATCAGTAGTTCTCAAAGCACTTTACAAAGAAGGTCAGTATCATTATCAAAGTGTTCACTAATTTTGGGTGCCCAATTTGAGTCACCTAGGGCCTGCTTTTACCAAGTGTTGAGCAGCTCTCATTGACTTTTTAAAAAAGTAAAACAATAAAACACAAGTGTCTCTCTTCCTCTAGGCAGAATGTTCCATTATAATAGGTGTGGGGGGTTGTTTTTTAAAATAATTTAACAAAAAAATTGCAAATGATACTAACTCTGTGGAGGATAGAATCAAACAAAAAGCTTACTTCCTTGCCTAAGGCTTGGAAGTGAAGATATAAGCCATAGTTAAGGCAAAGATTTTGTCATGGCTATTTTTAGTAAAAGTCTTGGACAAGTCATGGGCAATAAACAAAAATTCACGGAAGCTGTGACCTGTCTGTGACTTTTGCTCCTGCAGCTCCATGTTTTCCCCCACCACTGTGGTGGCTGGTAGCTGCGAGCTGCAGGGTGACCATATTTCCCAAAGAGAAAATGGGACACCCCAGCCGCTTGCCTGAGGCGTCGTTCCCCCCCATCCGTGCGAGGCTGTCGCCTGTCGTTGGAACCCTGAGGAGGGCCCCCTCAGGACTCTGTCATATGTGGCTAGAACTTTGCAGGGGGCCGCCTTTTGCTGGAACCCTGCCAGGACCCCACTGGCTGTCAGCTTCAGAGTCCTGCAGCCCCTGGGGCTGAAGCAGAGAATGTCACCAGGGTCTCTGGAAGTCACTGATTCCGTGACTTCCATGACCTCCGTGACATAAATGTAGCCTTAGCCACAGTTAAATAAATGCTAAGTAGCTTGAATAGCCAGTGTCATGTATTTTTTGAACAGAGAGTAGCAGTGTCACCAATGACCTAGTGATGTGTTGTCTTCCCCTTTAATGATGTATAAGTCTTGTCGATAATGGTGTACATGATACCGCAGATACAGTAAAACATTTTGGTAGAAGAACAAACTAGTTCTCAATAGTAACTCCATTCTAGCATAAGACCCAGTCTCTCAGTGGGGTCTCGCATGGATTGCTGCACCTGGGCAGAGTTCATTGAAGTTAATTGGATTCTGCATAGGTACAGATCAGGCCCTTATTATTGATTATCATTCACTGTACTTGACCCACAAAGGAAATGATGGACAGAATAGCGGTCTTTATTTTGTCCACCAATTAGGCCTACTTTCTGACATACCAATTTTTGTTTTCTAATTTCCACACTTTTCTTGTTTACCAAAAATAATCCTTAAATAGTCCTTAAATTATATCAGTAGGAATTTTTTGTTTAGACTAATTTAGTTTGTCTTCCTTTGATACCTTGTCCCATTAACATTTTTTGTTCTAAATTGTGACATCTTATGAACTTATTCACTTTTTATAAAGACGAGGTGGGTGAGGCAATATCTTTTATTGGACTGAATTTTGGTAAATTTGTAGGCCCAGTTATCAGGACAACCTTCACACATGATTAAGCTCATGTACGTAAGTATTTAGCAGGATTGGGCCCTAAAACAAGGAGAAAGAGAATTTACTAGCTTTCCCCTCTTTCCCCCAAATCACACTGCCTCTAATTCACATCTATTGTTTTAAACATGTAGTTCAATAAAAGTAAAACATATTTATTTAAAAAATGCCTATTGTTCTTTAGCAAAATCACCTGTGTTCATTCCTTATCTGTAGCAAGGTACTTTAAATAGCGTGCGTGTGTGTGTGTGTAATTACAATGTAATAGGAAAGTTACCACAAATGTTCGTGTATTAGTTTCCATACAAATTCCCTTTAATCATTTTTTGAAATTAGGGACAAAGGTACTAATCCAAAACCCACTGAAATCATTGGAAGTCTTTCCCTTGACTTCACTGGGTTTTGCATCAGGCTCTCACGTGCCTTGCAAAATTTTAATTTTAAAAATGAATTTGTTTGAGTAGTTTGTTGGAAAGGTTTTTAAAAAATAAAACAATCAAACTTTTTTCTTGCAACTTTGTTACTTATAAAATACAGTAAACTGTAAACTAATATTGGTGAGTGCAGCGCTGTAATGCTGCTAACTTCATAAAGAATGAGGTGAATCATTACCTTGAAAAAGCCATTATCAACTCCCTTATCTTTTGCCAAAGAAACTAGTATCGATTTGGAATTTAAACTAGTAATATACTACTTTGCAATTCTGTCTTCCATCCAAGGATCTCAAAGTGCTCTTGCAAATATGTAGATAAATATTATCAGTGTCATTTGACAGACAATAAAGTGAGACACGGAAGGGCTGAGTGATTTTGTTCAAGATTACAAAGGCAATCCTGTGAAAGAGCTGGGAATGGAGGCTGGGGTGCGTTACTGCCAGAGATTCTAGAATATGTTCCATCCTAGAAGATGTAAGCATGTCTAGTGCTTAACAGAACTTATTTTGTTTGTTTTGTTTTTCCCCCAGAAAATATCAAAAAGGATCCAGAGTGCGTCTGAGACTGGTGGACCTGGAACTCACATCTAGATTCTTGGGAGCAAAAACAGATACAACTTTACTGGAGGCTGATGCAGTGCTGCTAGGGCTCCTGGAAAGCAGAGAAATAAGGCAAAAGGAGTAAAGTTATGTAAATCAATCAATCAATAAACTGTAGATGTTTAACATTTCATTTGTACAACTTGCTTGTTCTCAGAAAGAAAATATTAGGATTCTTCCCTCACGGTTGTGTAAATTGTAAGGTAAATTAAATAAAAGGCATCAATCACAGTATGTCTAGTCCTTAGTTATCTTTTACCTTCTCATCTCTCGGCTTAAAATTAAACATTCTCACTTCATACTAAATTCAGTGGTAAGAAGTTAACTGAGCTTCTTTAAATAATTTGGTAACCATACTATGTCTGACCTTTGTGTATTCTTGCCTGGAACAGAACAGACATTCCAGAGTCTGTACTCCAATCCCAGAGGAAAATTGATCTAAAGTGCTATATTTTGCCAGCAGAATTCCGTGGCAGAAGTGCATTGTTCCTTCCAGTAAAGGTGCTTAATTTAGAAATAGACGTATGGTTCCTGGATCAAAGGTCAGAAAGCAGAGCTCATACTACAAATAATGGTCTTAATCTCTGTCATTGTGGGGTTCTCATTTGTATGATGATATGGCCCTTGCTGTTGCCCAGGTCATAATGGCGCATTGAGTGACTTGAACTTATTTGTTGCTTTGATTTGAGCTCTCATCTCAAATACATGTTGGTAATCACTGATTTTTTTAATGGTGACCAGTCTAAATGCAAAACCTATTTTAATGTAGTGTTATGCCTCTGATTTTATAAACAAACTTAGAAAGGGCATGACAGTGTGTGTTTTAATGTGCAGTCTAGAGATTTCACACACACTGCACATTTTGAGACGCTGCACTGCAGTGTTCCGAGTGTCTTTGGCATATTTGAAATTGGAGTACCTTTCTGAATTGTATGTACTCAGGGGAGCTCAGAGTAGGTGAAATGTGCCATTTTATAGCAATGGGGCCCAGAAGAGAGGCCACCAAATCTGCAGGGTTGTCCATAGAGCATCTTTAAAATGAATTAAGTGAGGAGAATTGTTAAGGTGGATATGACTTGCCAGGCTGCAGGGACAACCCAGGGAATCAAGAGCTGCATGTAGAAATCTAGCGCGCTATATATTGGCCAAGTGTATATTGTTCTAGACATCAGCACTTGGTCCAGCAGTTCCACTGTGGTGTAGAACAGGGTGTGCAAGTGTTAACTCCTTATAAAAGGCAGTCTCCCACTTCTCTCCTCAAGCAGCCACTCCTTTTAACCTTTTCTCTGAAAGTATGTGCAAGGAAAGGGAGAAGCAGAGATGAAGTTAAGCTCCAGTTCACCTGGGACAGGGTCGTAGTTCCCCAGAGCCTTGTCACACAATGGTTCCTAATTCTTTTCCCTCCTGAAGGAAAGATTATATTCCCTTCACTTCCTCCCTTCTCCTCCACCCTTAGCAAAACCGAGGTCTTGGGTATGACACAGGGGATCACACAGCCACCGGTGCCATTGTTCAAAATACATCTCAGTGCATGATCTGTCGAGAACAATGCTTTAAAAATCATGTACTTCTCTGCCACAGGATAGGAGTAGGAATCTTATGGAAAATGTGCAAGCTTTGTGAGGGGAATGGAGCATGTTTTAGCAGATCTGTTTGCAAACCAGTAAAGGGAGGTTGTTTCTCAAACGAGAAATGATCCAAGTCAATGAACGAGAGCAGGCCATGTGAGCTTGCTTGTTGCCTTAGTTTGCTCTTTCATCTCAGTGATCATAATTATGGGAATTTGAACATGAATTTGAACATAGGAGATTAGCCTCAGGTAAAGAATTATACTGCCACTGAGACAGAAAAAAAGAGTGTTTTTAGAAGCCAGAAGGCATCCTGGATATCCCCAAAAAACTGACTTATCAAAGTAATCCATCTATTTTACAGTGTTATATCATTCTTGAAGAAATACGATTTTGGGGCGAAATGCATGATATGAACTATTCCAGGGCACGCAGTTGTGAGATGAAATGCTGTGATACTGAGACTCTCTACAGACACTGATTTTATCAAGACTTCCTTGGGGGAATGTTATGTTCTCGGAGTAGAAATAGGGTTACCATATTTCAACAATCAAAAAAGAGGACGGGAGGAGCCCCGCCCTAGCCCTGCCCCCGTCCTGCCCTAGCCCCGCCCCTACCCCTTCCACTCCCTCCCACTTCCCGCCCTCCTCAGAACCTCCAACCCTCCCCCCCCCCACTCCTTCTCCCCTGACTGCCCCCTCCTGGGACCCCTGCCCCTAACTGCCCCCCAGGACTCCACCCCCTACCTAAGCCTCTCTGCTCCTTGTCCCCTGACTGCCCCCTCCTGAGACCTTCCCCCCATCCTAACTGGCCCCCTAGGACCCTACCCCCTACCTGTCCCCTGACTGCCCCAACCCTTATCCACACCCCCACCCCCAGACAGACACCAGGGACTCCCACGCCCCATCCAACCACTCCCCATCCCCTGACAGCCCCCCCCAGAACTCCCGACCCATCTAAACCCCTCTGCTCCCTGTCCCCTGACTGCTCCGATCCCTCTCCCCACTCCTGCTCCCTGACAGCCCCACCCCCAGAACTCCCAACCCCCCCGCCCCGCTCCTTGTCCCCTGACTGCCCCCTCCTGGGACCCCTGCTCCTAACTGCCCTCCAGAACCCCACCCCCTACCTAAGCCTCCCTGTTCCTTGTCCCCTAACTGCCCCCTCCTGAGACCCCCCACCCTAACTGCCCC